CCAAAATCTTAAATGGAAAGGGGGGTCGAGTGATTCCTTATTTTAAAGGTTTTTCAATTCCCTTTATAATGATGATACATGAGCTTCATTTCAGTAGTTTTGAAGATTTATTGATTTAAAGCTTAAAGTAGACTCGTTGTTGAAAACAGCTATTGGAGCGTTTTTTGTGGCAAAAAAGTTATTTCTTGAAGAAAGATAAGGAAATATCTCGTACTTATTTTAAATAGGAGTTTAGTACATAGTTTGCGATTGATTTGACCAAACTTTGTTGCTAAAATAACTTGTAAGGCTTTATTACATAAATTAACCATGGTATATTCCACATTAGAAAGAGTTTAAATTATCGAAATATTATTCGGAAATAATCAGTGCGCTAATAGAACAGCAGAAATATTTAATAAGCGACATGAGAACAGTACATCGAAAATATGTTCTAGAACTTGTAGCTAAATTTCGGGAAACTGGGTCAGTCGCCAATAAAAAACGCAACATTGAAAATCCCATAAGGAACGAAGCAATAGAAGTGTGGGTTTTAGAGCAAGTTTATGTAGATCCTACGTTAAGTAACCGCAAACTGGAGACTGCGTGTGGTGTTAGTTGACGTGCTGTCCAACGGATTCTAAAGGCCTATAGTTTTCATCCGTATAAAATTCTCATGGTACAGGAACTAAATGAAGACGATTTTGATCGGCGATTACAATTTTGTGAAGATATGAGTGAACGAATTATAAACGATGAACATTTTCTTTTCAACACTTGCTTTTCCGACGAATGTTCCTTTTTCTTAAATGGCGTAGTGAATCGTCATGACTTCCGATATTGGTCCGATTCTAATCCCAAAATGTATCATGAGGTTCATACACAGCAGCCACAAAAATTAAAAGTTTGGGCTGGTATTTTTGGCGATCATTTAGTTGGTCCTTTTTTCTTACCTGGAAATTTGACCGGTGAAATGTATCTGTAATTACTGGAGGACGCCATAGATCCTGCATTAATTGAAAATCAGAATGATCGGCGGTACATTGCGAATAGGTTGGTCTTCCAACAGGATGGTGCCCCACCACATTACGCATTACGTGTTCGACAATATTTAGATCAGACGTTTCCAGATCGATGGATTGGTAGAAGAGGTGCCATTGAATGGTCCCCAAGATCGCCAGATTTATGTGGGGTCATTTGAAAGAGCATGCGTTTTTCGTTTTCGATGCGCCATCCTGTATATTGGCCACCCTGTATAAAAAACCTGGGTAATGTTATGATACCGTATCTCATAAATAATCTTGTGCTGCTGTACTTACTCCTACCCCAAAAGCAGATACCATACCATAGTCTGCTGCTCACCTGACCATGGTATAACAATAATAACTGATCAAATGTCAGGACTGACCTCAAATTATTTATGCAACTCAGAAACCAAATGGTTACAGTGTTATTTCCAACTGAAGCATCGACTGATGTGAAGGCTCAGTAACTTTATAGCATCGCAATTACTTGCAGTTACAAAGGAATCGCAACAGATACAGTGAGATCACGACAACTTCTTTGTCTATTGTGAAACCATTGGTATGTGGCGATTGTCAGCTTTTCCACCTACTTGTGCGCATCGTTGTAATAATCTTTATGAATAATGTATTTTTTATTTAAATAAAAATTACAATAACTGTTTAGGTGTCAGGAATAGGTTTTTTTATCTATTAGTTCCTTAAACACTATACGGGGTGTTTCAAATTCATAGATCAAACAGAAGAACGTGAAAAGGGGGGGGGGTAGAGTAACCATCCATCAAAAACAAAAAATTTTTAAAAAACGAGGGTATCGGGTAAGATCGCCAGATTTATGTGGGGTCATTTGAAAGAGCATGCGTTTTTCGTTTTCGATGCGCCATCCTGTATATTGGCCACCCTGTATAAAAAACCTGGGTAATGTTATGATACCGTATCTCATAAATAATCTTGTGCTGCTGTACTTACTCCTACCCCAAAAGCAGATACCATACCATAGTCTGCTGCTCACCTGACCATGGTATAACAATAATAACTGATCAAATGTCAGGACTGACCTCAAATTATTTATGCAACTCAGAAACCAAATGGTTACAGTGTTATTTCCAACTGAAGCATCGACTGATGTGAAGGCTCAGTAACTTTATAGCATCGCAATTACTTGCAGTTACAAAGGAATCGCAACAGATACAGTGAGATCACGACAACTTCTTTGTCTATTGTGAAACCATTGGTATGTGGCGATTGTCAGCTTTTCCACCTACTTGTGCGCATCGTTGTAATAATCTTTATGAATAATGTATTTTTTATTTAAATAAAAATTACAATAACTGTTTAGGTGTCAGGAATAGGTTTTTTTATCTATTAGTTCCTTAGACACTATACGGGGTGTTTCAAATTCATAGATCAAACAGAAGAACGTGAAAAGGGGGGGGGGTAGAGTAACCATCCATCAAAAACAAAAAATTTTTAAAAAACGAGGGTATCGGGTAACGGTTTGTTTGAAATGTCTTTCGAAGTCCTTCATTTAGACGTTTGATTTTTTGAGATCAGCCGATTCGTTTTCGAGAAAATTAGAAAAATCTTTACTTATCTTGATTTGTTCAGATAGAAAACAAAAACACCAAATTAATACTTTTTATCAGGTCTTATTATCTTTGTTGTGTAACTTCAACTTCTCGCAAGATGCTATATATCTAATTGAATCCTATATAACTGGCAGATCTCAGGCAGTAATCTTACATAAACAAAAATCTTCCTAGCTTGAGCTTCTCAATGGTGTCCCGCAAGGCTCCGTGTTAGGCCGTCTGGTTTTCATACTATACACCTGGCCGCTCGACAGATGCCTAAAATATTGCTCCTATCACCTCTATGCTGATGATACATAGCTATATATAACATTTGAAGAGGCGGACATCGAGAAAGCATGTGATCAGTTGAGTGAGGACTTAGAAACTTTAGCATTGACATCTGAAGAGTACTGTCTGACACTAAACCCTTCGAAATCAGTGGTGATGCTCTTTGGTAGGAGTAAGGCTCGAAACAGATGCCTAAGTAAAATAAATATGAGCGTAAAACATGAACAAATTATTCTGAAAGATGTAACAAAAAATGTGGGTGTGCATCTAGATTATTCGCTCAGGTTCTCGAAGCATGTCACATCTGTGTTAAAAAGAGGATATTGTAATCTTAAAATCCTATACAATAGTAGACGTATCCTCACGCAGCAGTCGAAGAGAATTCTTGTAGAGGCTTTAGTGTTGTCCCGTGCAACTCATGCAGATGTGCTGGTTATACCATGCTTACGTAAACGCGACAAAGAAAGATTGCAAATATACTAAGTGACATATAAATCCGAACACATAGTTTAAATGGTTTTATTTTAACAAAATTTTGTATAAGTACTTAATGAAGCATAATAAGTAAATGATAAAAATTTCAAAATGATTGCGCTGCTTTAAAGCCCTTTGACCTTTAATAATGTGTGGATGCACCCTGATGTGCTACGCATTCTCCAACGCGCCTAGGCATGCTTCTGATCAGGTGGTCAATGTCCTCCTGTGGTATCTCATTCCAGGCAACCACCAACTCCTCTCGAAGTGCTTCTAGAGTCTGAGGAGGACGTTGCAAATTGAGCAATCTCCTACCTATCATATCCCACACGTGCTCAATTGGGGATAAGTCGGGAGATCTTGATGGCCATGGTAACAATGTGACATCATTATGTTGAAAGAAGTCTATTGTGACTCTTGCAACATGTGGTCGGGCATTATCTTGTTGGAAAGTTGGATCTGCCAGGGTGTCAAGATAGGGTAAAAGATGGGGTTCTAGAACTTCGTGGATATAACGCTGCGCGTTCATGTTACCTCTGATGAAGATTAAAGGTGACCTGGAACCATAAGCTATAGCACCCCAAACCATAACTCCAACAGTGTGATGAACATGTCTTTCAACAAAAAACTGTGGATTCCTCCTTTCACCACGTCGCCTTCTAACCCTGGCACGACCATCGTGCATGCCTAAACAAAATCGAGACTCGTCACTAAAGACAATACTGTTCCATTCCTGATCCCAGAGTGACCGTTGTCTGCACCTCTCAAGGCGATTACGTCGGTGTTCTCGAGTTAAAGGGAGGACTCAGTGTGGCCGGTATGAGAACAAGTCAAAACTTCTCACTCGTCGGTAAACACTTCGCATGCCAATAGGTCTTCCGTGTTCTGCAAAATATTCATTTGCAATGGACCTGGTAGTGGAGAAACGGTCCCTTAAGGCCGATAACCTTAGGCGGCGATCTTCACGGTCTGTTGTTCTACGGCGGCGTCCAGTGCCCCTTGCTCTTTGCGTACGCCCTTCTAGAAGCCATGCCTGACAACACCTAACCACAGTGTCTACACTTCTTTGCGCTCTAACTGCAATTGCTCGAAAAGAAAGTCCAGCTTTCCGAAGTCCCACTATACGGCCCCTACCACACTCACTAAGTTGAGGAAACCGTACAGGTCTCCGTACTCTAGGCATGGTAACCGATCGTAAAGGATGTCAAGAACCAAAATCCGCCAACCTTGATTCTTTACTGCGGCTGAAATATTCATTTTTAGAGCGTTAGTGAATTAAAAAAAAGCAATATAAAAACCGGAATGTCCAACTGATAAGGCTGAAAATTTGTTCACTTGTTATTTACAGTAAGATAAATACATTCACCAACTTTTATTAAAATAAAACCATTTAAACTGGGTGTTCGGATTTATATGTCACTTAGTATACTTCAAAATTCATGCGTACGTTTAATCACGGGAGCTAGGAGGTGAGATCATGTTTCTCAACACTACTCCAGCCTACAACTGTTACGAATAAAAAACCGAGGGATTCTGCATTCCATTTGTGTGTTTCATAAGACCGTCACCAAACAAACTCCTGCTTACGGCCCGTTCACACATGGGAGTCAGTTTTACTGGTACGGTTTTAACGGATACGTTATAAATTTATGCTCTGTTCACACATAGGCACCGTATAACGTTCAACGGATCCGTCATTACTGGATGCGATGTGTGAACAGAAAACTCGCAGTATACCGCCGCTATTCTACAAGGATGAACGTTGTCATGTTGTATTGGTACTATCGTCGGAGAAGGAAGATTCGACGTTATTGGCAGCATCCACTTATGGCCCACAGATCTAGGGAGGGTGCTTACAGTTTACTTATGAGTCAGTTACGAGGTGATGAATCGAAATTTTTCAATTACTTTCGTACGTCAATGTCTACTTTTGACGAACTTCTTAAACTATTGGAAAAGGATTTAAAAAAGCAAGATACTCGTTGGAGGAAAAGTATCTGCCCAGAAGAAAAACTAGCGATATTTTTAAGGTACGTACTTTTATTTTTAAAACTCAGACAGATCTAACGTAGCATCACTGTATACAGATTGTACTGGCGATAGTGCACTATGGTCTGCTAAAATAGCCCTGAGATTGATAGTGACTAGCACCAGATGTTTGTGCGTAGGCTGACCAGTCATAGGTTGACTGGCCAACTCTCCTATGTTTAATATTTTGTAATAAGTTTATCACCCGTGACTAGAGTTCCAAAGTTTGGTCATCTTCAAGCAAAGCCAAGGACGGCAAAATACCTTTGAAGAACGATAAATTGCGATCATCCTGCTCAATTTTCTTCGATTTTATATGATAGTCAATGTAGGACATCATTTTGGCATCCATTTCATTAAAATTTCTTTCCTTTTGACTGTCATTGTCAAGTTGTGTCATTGTAGTCACACTGTCATCTTCGTTTGTAGGTTCATTCGATGTCGTGGTGTCATCTTCGGTGTGTTCTTCAGTTTGTTTAGCAGATACGCTTTCGTGCGTTTCACCAGCAGCAACTACTTTTTTCAAAAACAGCATCTGATTATGGTATTTGTAGGGCATCGTGTTTGAGACAGCCGAACCAGACGTCTTGCAATTCTTTTTATCTTTTAGTGTTCTCACTTAGGTATCTCTCATCTGACACCACTTTTTCATAACAAGTTTTCCTAAAACAAATAATTAAACAATCAATTTTATTTTCAGGTATGCAGCATCCGGGTGCTCATTTAAAGATCTTCATTACACCTATCGCGTTGGTGTATCGACTGTTAGCAACATTATTAAAGAAGTTTCAAGATGCATATGGAACAATTTAAGTGAAAAATTTATGCGACTTCCTACATCAGTCGACGAATGGGAACAGATAGCAAGTGGATTTAACAAAAAAGCTAATTTTCCCCAATGTCTCGGAGCTGTCGACGGAAAACATATCCGACTTAAAAAACCACCAAATAGCGGTTCACTGTATATCAATTACAAGGATTTTTTTCCATCATATTATTAGCTATCGTAGACTCCGACTATCGCTTTGTATATGTCATTGTCGGATCTTATGGAAAAGAATGCGATTCATCAGTATTCAAGGAGACAACATTTTGGAAAATGATGCTAGATGGCAGTCTTCAAATACCTGCACAATGCCCATTAACAGGAGACTCAGAAACGAGAGCTCCTTATGTGGTCATTGAAGACAAAGGTTTCGGATTACACAAAAATTTACTAAGCGAATATTCAACTATCGTTTGACTAGAGCTAGGAGATACGTTGAATTTGTATTCGGTATCTTAGCTAATAAGTGGAGAATATTCCATCGGCCTCTAGACATCGATAAAACAATAGCTGTATGGACTGTTAAGGCATGTACTATTACTACTACACAACTTTATAAGGGACAAAGAGGGTTCAAACAATGATAATAACGTATCTCAAGAATTTAGTTACGGAGACCTACCCCATGAAGTAAGTACACGAGGTGGTAATACTGCCAATTTAGTTCGAACCGAATTCGTGAACTATTTCATGTCCGAAGCTGGATCAGTTCCATGGCAGGATGAAGCTATTTAGAATGTAATTGAATAATAAAACAGACACTTACCGAACTCTTGTCTTTGTCTTTGTTCCATAGCCTCAAAATCCTCCATTAGAATAACGCATATTTCGCGCCAACCTGCAATACTTGCAGTATTGTCTTTGTATTTATCCAGCGTCGTGTCCCAAAGGACTGGCCTATCTTCCACCAAAGTAACTAAAATTTCCTTGTCTATTAACTTTTCCCACCCCTTGGTTGACTTGGTTGATCAGTGATTATAATAATTATTACACACAATGCACGCGCGCGTTCTCTATGAATGTACAATAGAAAATGCGACTCAAAACCTGTCGTATCACTCCCCCTCCTACACCCCGCACACACCGCCCGCCACGCACACAGTATCTATCCGTTGAAATTCTACGTATCCGTATATTTTTACTGTTTCGATGACAAAACGGAATGTCATATTTTAACGGAACAGTATTTTTTACTGTATACAGTATACTGTACCATGTGTGAAGTCGCTCATACAACTATATACGCCACCGACGAAAAAAAACGTATCTGATAAAACGGAGAGCATGTGTGAACGGGCCGTTATCTGTATAACAAAATTCGTTGCAGAACAGACGTCCACACACTCAGCCTGCGTTACGGACATTTAGTTTCTGCTCCTAGATTCCGTACATCGCTTTTTAAACATTCTTTTTCTTACAATATCGCACGGCTGTATCAAAGGTACCGATTGCATACAGGAGTTTGTCTATGAATTTATACTAAGTGACATATAAATCCGGACACCCAGTTTAAATGGTTTTATTTTAATAAAATTTTGTATAAGTACTTAATGAAGCATAATAAGTAAATGATAAACATTTCAAAATGATTGCACTGCTTTAAAGCCCTTTGACCTTTAATAATGTGTGGATGCACCCTGATGTGCTACGCATTTTCCAACGCGCCTAGGCATGCTTCTGATCAGGTGGTCAATGTCCTCCTGTGGTATCTCATTCTAGGCAACCACCAACTCCTCTCGAAGTGCTTCTAGAGTCTGAGGAGGACGTTGCAAATTGAGCAATCTCCTACCCATCATATTCCACATGTGCTCAATTGGGGATAAGTCGGGAGATCTTGATGGCCATGGTAACAATGTGACATCATTATGTTGAAAGAAGTCTATTGTGACTCTTGCAACATGTGGTCGGGCATTATCTTGTTGGAAAGTTGGGTCTGCCAGGGTGTCAAGATAGGGTAAAAGATGGGGTTCTAGAACTTCGTGGATATAACGCTGCGCGTTCATGTTACCTCTGATGAAGATTAAAGGTGACCTGGAACCATAAGCTATAGCACCCCAAGCCATAACTCCAACAGTGTGATGAACATGTCCTTCAACAAAAAACTGTGGATTCCTCCTTTCACCACGTCGCCTTCTAACCCTGGCACAACCATCGTGCATGCCTAAACAAAATCGAGACTCGTCACTAAAGACAATACTGTTCCATTCCTGATCCCAGAGTGACCGTTGTCTGCACGACTCAAGGCGATTACGTCGGTGTTCTCGAGTTAAAGGGAGGACCCAGTGTGGCCGGTATGAAAATAAGCCAAAACTTCTCATTCGTCGGTAAACACTTCGCATGCCAATAGGTCTTCCGTGTTCTGCAAACCATTCATTTGCAATGGACCTGGTAGTGGAGAAACGGTCCCTTAAGGCCAATAATCTTAGGCGGCGATCTTCACGGTCTGTTGTTCTACGGCGGCATCCAGCGCCCCTCGCTCTTTGCGTACGGCCTTCTCGAAGCCATGCCTGACAACACCTAACCACAGTATCTACACTTCTTTGCACTTTAAAAAAAGAAAGTCCAGCTTTCCGAAGTCCCACTATACGGCCCCTATCAAACTCACTAAGTTGACGAAAGCGTACAGGTCTCCGTACTCTAGGCATCGTAACCGATCGTAAAGGATGGCATGAACCAAAATCCGCCAACGTTGATTCTTTACTGCGGCTGAAATATTCATTTTTAGAGCGTTAGTGAATTAAAAAAAAGCAGTATAAAAACCGGAATGTCCAACTGATAAGGCTGAAAATTTTTTCACTTGTTATTTACAGTAAGATAAATACATTCACCAACTTTTATTAAAATAAAACCATTTAAACTGGGTGTTCGGATTTATATGTCACTTAGTATATTTAAAAAACAATGAAGCGTTTTCTATTGGCTGATGACTGTACAATATGAAGCATACAAAATTTAACTCGTTTTTCTGTGTACACAACAGCTTTTCATTTCTGATTTCCTTCAACTCTCTTTGTGTGAAGTTTCTTGGATCACGGTCAGGTGTAGGCGAACAGTTATTGTATTTTTTTTTTGGTTGAATGGAAGAGCGGATCTTTCTATACGACAGTAAAAGCCGAATTCTGTCGTTTGTCAGAAAAGCAGCTAGAATTTCTATGTATCTTCTTTGTGAGCTTATCTTAGCAATAAAACCCATTTATTATTATTATTACTATTATAAAGCCGTGAGGGGAAGTTTCCAAATGAACAACCTATGTATACTCTTATCCGGTTGTGTACGATTTTTCGGAGCTTAGCTTAGGCCCGTATCGTTAGTGGTCTCTACAATTGTAGGGCGCGTTTATGGCCTCCTTGATTGTCATACTTCTTCTTCTCCTTCAAAAATTTCTAGATTACACTTGTCCCGTGTCAGCGTGAGTGCTCTCCTATTGTGAAGATATATTTTCTTTTTAACTTATAGGAAATTTCAGGCTGATAAAACATGATATAACTCAAAAGCAAGCACAATTTGATGCAAATAGATGTTTGTGACATAACCTCAAAATAGAGTTCTGACACGGAGAAGTGGAAAACTATGACAATCAAGGAGGCCATAAAGGCGCCCTACAATTGTAGGGACGACTGACGATACGGGCCTTAGTTATCGCTATTATTGAGAGCTTGTACTTGTTGTTTGTATTTGACTCATCCAACAACTCAAAAAATAAATATTATTGCGTCCAATTGTAGGATGCTCTTATAGCCTCCATGATTTCTATAGTTTCCTGCTGTTCCGTGTTAGGGCTCTATTTGGAGGTTATGTAACAAATACCTGGTTGTACACATTTTGTATTGCCTTTGATTTGTATCATCTGTTATATCAATTTCCTACAATTCAAAGAGAACGAGCAAAGCAGTAGAAATCTAGAAATACCCAAGCCGTTCTGAAGAAGAGAAAATATTATGAAAATCAAGGAGGTCATAAAGGCGTCCGACAATTGTAGGAACGAGTGACGATACGGCCCTTACCGCTTCCATTACTCATCCTCGTCACTCCCGCTCAGCGTCAAAGGTATGCTGATAGACTTGGTTTTTAATAAAACTCCAAGCAACAAGTCCAGAGAAGTCTAATCCGGGGAACGGGCTGGCCAGGACAATTCACCTTCCTGGAGGTACTCTCGATTTTGCCTAGACTTACGTGCAGGAACACTGTGTTGTTGAAATCAACAGCTATTAACTTGTGCCAATGGTAAATTATCCAGAGAGTCTCTGTATTTATCGTGATGATATCTATTTTTACGCATATTAGGTTGAACTGAGGATTTGGGACTCCTATATTTTTCTCAATTTTCCTAAGTGATATCTCAGAGTTGTCAGCTACTGCTCGTAAAACACTATTCTGAATTTCTTATAAAGATTCCTTTCTTCGAGACACAATAGGCGTTTTGAATAAATCAAATTAAAATTTCGAGCCAACTCTGAGAAAATCAATTTCCTTGGCTGTCTTCTTTATGGAAATTTATCAACACATTTCTGCAGCATTTTTAGCATTTTTGTAGCACAAAATCTAGCACGCAGTATGTAGAACTTTTCTTCATTGCTAAAGTGATCGCCTGGCATTTCTGACGATAATAAAGCAATTTTAACAGTACACAATAATAACAACGGCAACAAGTGCGAGGCACGTCTTTTAAGTTTTGCATACAGAGACATAGTAGGCCGCGCGGATCGAACGTCAGTACTGAATCACTCTTTAGTAAACTTAAATTCAAAGTTTCACAACAATACGCAGTGTTCTCACTACAGTGTATTTTTGAGCGTCACCAAGTCATTAGAAAAATGGAACTCGACCGAGAACATTTTCACGCTATAATTTATTACAACTTTCAGAGACAATTATCGCAACAAGAATGCTTTGCTGAGTTACTGTCTGTTTTCGACAACGAAGCGCCACATCAGTCGACAATTTCCCGTTGGTATGGAGAATCCAAACGTGGACGGGTGAGTCTTAGCGACCATCCTAGGGTGGGTGCACCAAAAACGGCAGTCACCCAGGAAAACGTCGATGCTGTGCGCAAACTCATCATTGAAGATAGACATCTGACATATCGTGAGAATGAGGCATCCTTGAAGATCTCAAGGCAGCAATTCTACTCGTTCACCTAACCAGCTGAATCAATAAATACACTGATGTTAAATAATATATATATATATATATACAGGGTTATCCAAATTAAGTGTCCACCATTAGTAACTTTGTTATTAGTGAAAATACAAAGTTGTTTGAATTAGCAAACTAGTAGCATTTTTAACGCTGGTAAAAATGAGAAATAAAAAAAAAACAATTGAGAGTCGTTATTTTGATTTTTTTCAGTAAAATAACATTTTTTTAAATGGAAACCCCTGTATATTATATTTTTTTCTGTTAAAGCATCAAATTTTAAACAAAATAATAATAATAATAAAACAAAATAATGACTTTTCCGCTAAAGTCAAAAATAAAGTCAAAATAACGATAAATATTTTTAATTATTTGCAGTATTATAATATTAAGACGGCTATGAAAACAACATGGCGTTCGCGATTTGACAGCATTAAGATAAGCGACAAATTGTTAAACTGGACATACTCGCAACTAGAAGGCTTTGGAAAACAATGATAAAATCAAATAATGTCAAACATTAGTGTAAATACTTGTTTATAAGCTTTATTGTGTCATTAATTTAAAGAAAAATGTTCTCCCATGAAGAAAAGTGTGATATGTTAGAATGCTATTTAGTGTGCAGAAAATCCTCCTACTACAGTGAATTATATCCCGCTCGCATTCAACCGTATGAACGATATTTTCTGAGACTTTATCGAAAATTTAGGGGCAACGAAAATGTTTTTGCTAAAACAAGGGCAAAAAAAGAATTCATAATAAGCGAGGCCACGGAAATTGCAGTTATTGGATATTTTGAAGCTTATCGTGAGAATTCAATAGCAGATATTCTCAAGGACTCTAATTTCAGTTATGGTACTGTTCAAAGGATTTTAAAAAAATACAAATTTATTCCGTATAAGTACCGACCAGTTCAAACGCTTTTGGCAGGGGATCCAGAGAGAAGACTTGTTTTTTGCCATTGGTATCTTAGCTTCTGTCGCCAAAATGTAAATAACTTTCGTTACCTTTTATGGACAGATGAATCAAATT